ATCAAAAGGGCTTTAAACTAGGAACTTGGGGGAGACGGTTGGGAGATGTTCAGTTAATCTCCACGCCAGATTCCAACACTGAAAAGGAGTGTGAGGAGATAAGCACAGACATAGGTAGGGGTAGGGAATTGGACATGAGAATGAGGGGGCGGATGGACAGCATGAGTTCCGTTCCAAATTGCATAACTAATGGGAGGAAGGATAGACAGCATACGGTAAGATGTTTATACACCAATGCGAGAAGCCTAGGTAACAAAATGGAGGAATTGGAGCTCCTGGTCCAAGAAATGAAACCTGATATCGTAGGAATAACCGAAACGTGGTGGAACGGTAGTCATGACTGGAGTACAGGTATGGAAGGGTATGTGCTGTTTAGGAATGACCGGAAAAAAGGTAAAGGTGGGGGAGTGGCGTTATATGTCAATAATGAGCTAAAATGTAAAGAAATAATAAGTGATGGAATGGATAAGACGGAGTCTGTATGGGCAATAATTACACTGCATAAAAGAACTACTAGAGCCTCCCCCGAGATAGTGCTTGGGGTGTGCTATAGACCGCCGGGATCTAGCCTGGAGGCGGACAGGGAACTACTTAATGTTTTTAGGGAAGTAAAAACTGATAAGAACTGTGTCATCATGGGGGACTTTAACTTCCCAGATATAGATTGGGTAACAAATGCTAGTAACAATAACAGGGCTCAGATGTTCTTAGACGTGCTAGCAGATGAATTCCTTCATCAAGTAGTAACTGAACCGACAAGGGGGGATGCCATTTTAGATTTAGTGCTGGTGAGTAGTGAGGACCTCGTTGAAGAAATGGTTGTAGGGGACAACCTTGGCTCGAGTGACCATGAGCTAATTCGGTTTAAACTAAATGGAAGGATTAACAGAAATGATACTGTAACTAAGGTTTACAATTTCAAAAAGGCCAACTTTAATAAATTAAGGCAACTACTTAGGGAAGTGGATTGGGCTAACATACTTAGGGATCTAAAGGCAGATGACGCCTGGGATTATTTCAAGCAGAAGTTGCATGAGATGTCTGAGGCCTGTATCCCAAGAAAGGGAAAACGATTAGTGGGCAGGAGATTTAGACCTAGCTGGATGAGCGGGAGTCTCAAAGGGGCGATTAAGAAAAAACAGAAAGCGTACAGAGAATGGAAGAAGGGAGGGATCAGCAAGGAAACCTACCTTAGTGAGTTTAGAGCATGTAGGGATGCGGTGAGAAAGGCCAAAAGCCGTGTAGAGTTGGACCTTGCAAGGGGAATTAAATCCAATAGTAAGAGGTTTTATAGCCATATAAATAGGAAGAAAACAAAGAAAGAGGAAGTGGGACCGCTGAAGAATGTGGATGGAGTGGAAATTAAGAATAATCTAGGCATGGCACAATATCTAAATGAATATTTTGCTTCGGTCTTTAATAAGGCTAATGAAGGGTTTAGGAATAGAGGGAGTAGGACAGAGGGGAATAGAGGAGGGGGGATAGACATTACAGTATCAGAGGTGGAAGCCAAACTTGACCAGCTAAACGGGACTAAATCGGGCGGACCGGATGATCTTCATCCTAGAATATTGAAGGAACTGGCGCGAGAAATTGCAAGCCCCTTGGCAACAATTTTTAATGAATCTGTAAACTCGGGGGTGGTACCGTTGGACTGGAGAATAGCTAATGTGGTTCCTATTTTCAAGAAGGGGGGGAAAAGTGACCCGGGTAACTACAGGCCTGTTAGTTTAACTTCTGTAGTATGTAAGATCTTGGAAAAAATTTTGAAGGAGAAAGTAGTTAAGGACCTTGAGGTGAATGGCAATTGGGACAGATTACAACATGGGTTTACGAAAGGCAGGTCGTGCCAAACCAACCTGATCTCCTTCTTTGAGAAAGTAACAGACCTTCTAGATAAAGGAAATGCGGTGGATCTAATATACCTCGATTTTAGTAAAGCGTTTGATACGGTTCCGCATGAGGAATTATTGGTTAAATTGGATAAGATGGGGATCGATAGGAAAATCCAGAGGTGGATAAGGAACTGGTTAAAGGGGAGACTGCAGCGGGTAGTACTGAAAGGTGAACTGTCAGATTGGAGGGAGGTCACTAGTGGGGTTCCTCAAGATTCGGTTCTGGGTCCGATTTTATTTAATCTATTCATCACTGACCTCGGAACCAAATGTAGGAGTGGGCTGATAAAGTTTGCGGATGACACAAAGTTGGGAGGCATTGCCAACTCGGAGAAGGATCGGGATATTCTCCAGGGAGACTTGGATGACCTTGTTAATTGGAGTAATAGTAATAGGATGAGATTTAATAGTGAGAAGTGTAAGGTGATGCATTTAGGGATGACTAATAAGAATTTCAGTTATAAACTAGGGACGCATAGGTTAGAAGTGACTGAGGAGGAGAAGGACCTCGGAGTCCTGGTTGATCGCAGGATGACTATGAGTCGGCAATGCGACGTGGCTGTGAAAAAAGCTAATGCGATCTTGGGATGCATAAGGCGAGGTATTTCTAGTAGGGACAGGGAGGTGCTGCTTCCGTTATACAAGGCGCTGGTGAGACCTCACTTGGAGTACTGTGTGCAGTTCTGGTCTCCTATGTTTAAAAGGGATGAACTGAAACTGGAACGGGTACAGAGAAGGGCAACTAGGATGATCCGAGGAATGGAAAACCTTTCCTATGAAAGGAGACTCGAGGAGCTTGGGTTGTTTAGCCTAACCAAAAGAAGGCTGAGGGGGGATATGATTGCTCTCTTTAAATATATCAAAGGGATAAATACCAGGGAGGGAGAGGAATTATTTCAGCTCAGTGCTAATGTGGACACGAGAACGAATGGATATAAACTGGCCGTGGGGAAATTTAGGCTTGAAATTAGACGAAGGTTTCTAACCGTCAGAGGGGTGAAATTTTGGAACAGCCTTCCGAGGGAAACGGTGGGGGCGAAAGACCTCTCTGGCTTCAAGATTAGGCTAGATAAGTTTATGGAGGGAATGGTTTGATGGGATTACGTGATTCTAATCAATTAGGCAATAACGGCCATCGCTGGTAAAATGAGGGTCTGGCTAGAGAATCTTGCCTGTATGCTCGGGGTTCTGCTGATCGCCATATTTGGGGTCGGGAAGGAATTTTCCTCCAGGGTAGATTGGCAGTGGCCCTGGAGGTTTTTCGCCTTCCTCCGCAGCATAGGGCAGGGGTCGCAAGCTGGAAGATTCTCTGCGACTTGAAGTCTTTAGATCACGATCTGGAGACTTCAACAGCAGAGTTAAGGGAAAGTGGGGGGGTCAGCTTTTGTGGCCTGCATCATGCGGGGGGTCAGACTAGATGACCATATTGGTCCCTTCTGACCTTAAAGTCTATGAGTCTATGAGTCTATGAGTATCATTGGTGCCCACGTGGAGAAGCAGGAAGGGGTAGCGATCCGAGGGCTTGATGAGTCTCGGCAGTCTCTCCGTCACATCGTGTATCCTAGCTCCTGGCAAGCAGCAGACCTCTCGGTTTTCCCAGTCGGGGCAGCAGATAGATGACTCAGGGCCCCTGAGGAGGGAGTCCCCAACCACCACCACCCTCCTCCTCCTCTTGGGAGTGGTGGTCGTGGAACCCTCATCCCTAGGACAGTGCATCTTTTGCCTTCCAATCGGTGGAGTCTCCTTCTGCTCCCCTCCCTCAGATGTGTCCTCTAGTCCACTCTCCGCATTAGTACCTGTGGAGAGAACATGGAAACGATTGCTCACCTGTATCTCCATTGCTGGTACAGGGACACTCCTCTTTCTCCTTCTGGAGGTCACATGCTGCCAAACCTCTTCACAATCCTTCTGTCCCTGCTGCGCCTGCTCTGAATCTTCAGAACATTGTGGCCGTAGAAGCATCTCCTGACGTCTGTCCAAGTTGGTTCTTGTCTCCGTTCCACCAGTTCTCCTGGCACCATAGAGGCTTCCCGCCTAGACAGGATCTTAATTTTTATTGTAAAAAAGATTTGGGGGTGGGTGGGGAGGGGGAGCGGGAGAATAAAACCTCTCCAGCCATTTTTGTCCCAAAGAATTAAACAAGGACAAAAGCCCAATTTTCCTCCCTTCACGGGTCACCATGGGAACTGGCTGCTAGAGTCCTGAAGAAACAATACAGCAAAACAGCGAGAGAGGCAGGAACTAACACACTTTGCTCTCCCCAGCATATGGCTCTTAACAGTCCAGGCATTTCCAGTGCTGGAGAGGTCATTAGCTGAATGACTAGACCAAGGGTAGACAACCTATGGCACGTGTGCCGAAGGCGGCACGCGAGCTGATTTTCAGTTGCACTCACACTGCCTGGGTCCTGGCCAGCAGTCCGGGGGGCTCTGCATTTTAATTTAATTTTAAATGAAGCTTCTAAAACATTTTAAAAACCTAATTTACTTTACATACAACAATAGTTTAGTTATATATTAATAGACTTATAGAAAGAGACCTTCTAAAAACGTTAAAATGTATTACTGGCACGTGAAATCTTAAATTAGAGTGAATAAATGAAGACTCGGCACACCACTTCTGAAAGGTTGCCGACCCCTGGACTAGACTCTAGGCCCAACAGAGACCATTAAAAGACAAAAATCGCTGTGAAAGAAGCACATGCTGCCGCATTAACGCCACTTTACTTTAACCACAGGTTTGTTGGCTTGTCCATCATCAGGAATCTGCCTCTAGTGCAGCCACACGACTGGGGCTTGCACAGACAGGTAGAGCTGGCACTGTGCCTCAAAGGCCACAGGATGGGGCTCATGCTAATCTTCATTAGCAAAGGCCTTGCACCCCCACCCCCACTAAGGGGCAGGAAAACCCTGCTGCCTTGTGGGAATGACCCTGCATGCAGTGCAGGGGATACACAGGCTGGGGTTCTGATAGGTTGGTCAATTTCAGCAGAAAGGACAACTTCCAGGTGATCAACTCAACCCCCGGGCGGCTGGAAAACATCACAGTGGGGGAAATACCAGGTCCAGTAGGTCACACACCCAGACCAGCCACAACTGACTCAAGTGACTTTTATTCATTTAAAAAATATATATGAAGTAACACTGAACATTTCCTACAGCAAACAGAGCCCCTCTCTTCTCAATGAGGCATAACTCCACACATCTACCCCCCTGCAGCCTTCATCCCCACTGGAGGTTGGGTAAGACTGGCCATCCTCCAGGGGGTGGAGCCTGAAGGGATGGGGGAAGGTCCTGTATTGGAGGCCAGCCAGGGGGGTACTGAAAAACCAACGTCTTCTCCGTCAGGGAACTGGGTGAGAGAAAAAAATAGCAGCATCAGGTCAGATCAGCCAGGCTGAGTCATGGTGGTGCTCCCTCTGCCCCCTTCCTCTCCACCCCATTATCAACCTAGTTTTTCAACAGCCACCAGACCTGCCCCCCACAAGAATGAACCTCCAGAAGTATTAGGGGCCATAGGGCTGTCCGGGGAGTTGGTAGAAATCTGAGACTTGGGAGACTTGAGCCAGACAGCAGCAGCTGGTGAACAAAATAAGCAGAGGAGCCGCAGGTAGCAAGTTACCACAAATCCCTCCAACCTTCCCTGACCGGCCTTTCCAAGGGAAACCCTGGGACTCTGGTCAGGAGGCAGCACAGGGAGAAGAGATGGCAGAGGGAAGGGTTCTGCTGGGGAAGGGAGCCGGTGGGGAAATGGGAAGACAACAGAGGAATGCAAAGCTGGGACATTTTACAGTCAAGAGCACGGGATGAAAAAGCAGCATTTATCCCTCTATACATTGCTTTACTGCTCTCCTAGTTCCAAACTCTACCCCATCTTCACAGCAATAATCCCGTGAAAGGATCTCTGTGCAAGCAGAGAGGAGCTGCTGAAATGTCTGGGTGCTTTGTGACAGGCCCCACTGCTGGGTGGGAGATCCTTTCCTGATCTAGCCACTGGGAAAGTCACACCTCCTCTCCCTGTTGTGTATCAGTTAAGGTTGCTGCAGACAAGTAAGGATGGGAAAAGTTAAGCCACCTAATCTGACCTAACCTTCCACCCACAGCTATATACCTCATTGCTAGAGCAGTTGCCACATGCCTCAGCCTTGACTCTTCCCCCTAGACATGCCAGCCTCCAGGGAGCTGGCTTCCCAAAGCTCTGCAGAGAAGGGGGGGGAGGGTGTCAGGCTGGTCTTTGTTGTGGTGGGGGTTTGGGGCCAGCATATCCCAGAGAGAGAGAGTCACCACCACAGCAGGTGCATTTGCCCTGCGCTTGCTGCCTGAACGGGTGAAAATTTGCAGTTAACACTAGCAGGCAGCCCCTCCGCCCAAAGCACAGCACTCCCATGCCAGAGGTGAACTCCTCTCTTGCTCCGGAGAGGATAATTAATCATTCTGCACATCAAGGGCCAAAGCCAGCCAAGGTGTCACTCCATTATCTCCGGAACAGGGATGCGCTTGGCCCTTTAAGTCTTCCATTGGCAGGCAACCTGCCCCCTTTCCAGCAACTCCTCAGTGCAGAAGAAGAACTCATTTGTTCTCCAGCATGAGTCCTGACAGCCGCTTTCACTGATTCTCGGGGGCTTCTACCTCTGATCCTCACGCATCTCTTTTTAATTGTTATGCCAGGATGAATGTAATCAAGCTCCTTTACATAATAGTGCTTATCCAGAGAATTGCGGAGCCCAAACCATGCGCTGGAATTGACTATTAACGTTTAGTGCATTACCTTCCATGCGGTCTAAGTGAAACGATCATTATGGGATGGTCTAGATAATACTTGGTCTTGCCATGAGTGCATGGGACTGGACTAGAAGACCACTTGAGGTCCCTTCCAGTTCTATGATTCTATGATTCGGGCTAATGTTTATATTCCCTTGGGGGAGCTTCTTCTGGAGTTTGGATGACACTGCAGATGCTTTCGGCGTCTGGTGGTAACATTGCTTTTGCTACATTTAGGCTTTATCTATACGCAAAAGCTGTTCTGCTTTAACTAGACCAGTATGGCTAATGCCGTATGACCCCCTAGTGTGGACGCAGTTATACCAGTGTAAGAGTGCATATAGGGGTACAGCTATACCCATACAGGAAGGGGAATAAACTATAGCGGTATATGACGCCTTTATCACAGTGTAACCGCATCTACTCTAGAGCTTGTACTGATCTAACTATACTGGTAAAAAAAAAAAATCACCGACCTAACCAAAATGGTTCTCCTGGTCCAAGAACTGTGTGGGAGGCCGGCAGGCATTCTGGAAAGGAAAGGTGGCTCAGTGGTTAGGGTGCCAGCCTGGAACTTGGGGAACATGGGTTCAATTCTCTGTATGAACTTGGGCAAGTCACTCAGCCGCGCTGTGCCTCAGTTTCCGCATCTGTACAGTGGTGATATTACAAGGGTGTTGGGAAGATAACTACTGCTGATGGGGGCCCTATACGTACCTTAGATACAATTATTCATGGATTTCCTTACGCCCCAGCCTACCTATCCAAAGAATGGCAGAGAACTGCATGGCTCAGGCAATAAGGATCAGATGGGAGCCTCTTGTATAAACATCATTTCAAAGCCAGCCAGAAGGGAATGGGTGGCTGTTTGGGGGGATTATGTGAGACAACCTGGTGGGTCTCCAGTCATTTCCCGCAGGATCGGAGTCCCATAGTGTTACCTCAGCCAAGAGGACACAGAGTGAATGGAGACAGAAGCTCAACTCCCCTTTGCCACCCCCAGGCCATGGTCTGAGGCACATCGGCAGGGGATGCTGGAGCTGCTCAGACCATTCAGGACCATGCTGCCCCCAAGAGCTTTTCCATCATCCCCCAAGCTGCCCTCCCTGGTAGCTGAGATGGAAATGGCCCGTAGGATCCCCTAGTCCCATCTCTTTGCCAATGCAGACTGCTCCCCACAGCACTTTCTCTACAGTTTAGTCTCATTTGAAAGAGCCAGATGGCCTTTATGGACACCAGCAGCCACACAAAGCACTAGCTAAATGAAGCAGGCGCTGGAGGGCATGTGTGTTTCAAGTCCATGTACGCATCACTGCACTGTCTGACCCTTTCAGAGAATGGGTCACCTCTCTAAGTTTCATAGAGTTTAAGGCCAGACGGGACCACCGGATCAAGTCTGACTTCCTGCGTGGCCCAGGCCATTACAAATCACCCAGATACCCCGAATTGAACCTAATGACTTGAGTTAAACCAAAGAATTTCAGTCCACAGGCAGAGAACACAAGAGACTGAGGTGCCACCAATGCCCGAGGCCCCAGCAACGGCAGGGAATTGATGAAGTGAGACGTGCCCAGATGATTCCAGCTAGTGCTCCATGCTCCATACTGCAGAGGAAGGAGAAAGACCCTTCCCAGGATAAGACAGGGAAATGGGCTACTTGCCCCCTGCTGCCAACATTCTCAGCACTGTCTACGGCCACCCACACATTAGCTGGGTGTGTCAACGCCCTGTGAAGCATCTCACAGTGGAAAGTGAAGGCTCCTTCCCAGACAAAACAGAACACACAGTTGCTCAGGACAGCAAAATAGCAAGGGCTGCTGAGTGTCCTGTGGCTGTTTGTGTGGGTGAGTGTAGCTGGTAGGGATAGACATTTGCCAGGTCGGTCTAAAGGTGAAGTTCTTACATGAATGATATTCAGCTCCTGGCTGGCAGATGCACCAGCAGCATCTACTGGAGCAAAGAGGAGCTTAGCAAATAAAACACCCAGCATCCAATGCCTCCTGCCTGCTTCTAATGACCAGGGAGACAGGTGCTGGTTCGTGGCCATTCCACTTGGTACTGCACGAGTCCCTGAACAGGACAAACAAGGGACGACCGCACTGCATGGGTGCCAAAGTTATTCATTACAAGCAGGCTCTGCTGCAGGGCTAAGAGCAGCCAAGCAGACAGATGGGATAAAAGGAAAGCAGCACATCTAGAAACACTCCAGAAGGAAGATCATGTCCAGACCAATGCGGAAGGGACAAGAGTAAACAGAAAAGAACAAAAGAGAGATCTGGCACCTGACCAAGCAACAGCCAATTAAGCCTGCGGCACAGTCAGGTGAGCGAGACAACAGGTAATGCCAGGCTGTCAGAATGCCACTGGGAGGGGCTGGTTCCATTCCACTGCTAGCAAACCGGAAGGCAGGGGCTGTGCAGGGAGGACAAGCAGAGGGCAGAGAAGCTGTCACCGAGCCGGGCTCAGCAGTCTGTCCGTGGAACTCGGGTTGTTAATGACACACAACACTTCAGTGGCATTTTCCACCCACAGATCTCCAAGCACTGTGCAAATGGGAGGGAAATATCACTAGCTCACATTAGATAGGGAAACTGAGGCAGAGAGAGAGCAAGGCTGAGATTTCAAAGCCATGGGTGTGTAAGGGGACTGTTGGCCCTTACTAAAACTCAGTGGGGGTGTTTTGGTTAGCTAGCTCCTGGTACCAAAAGAAAGGGGAAGGGTCGATGGGAAATCAGTATCCTGAGACTGACAGTCCCCAGGACCAATGGGGAAAGGCCAATGCTCCAGGTCAGTCTGATTGACAGGGTGGGCAGGCTAATGAGAGAATCAGGAGGCCGGGGTCCCGTCCTCTGTGTGAGCTGGAATTGCCTGGAACAGAGTGGGACCCAGCTAAGAAGAGAGCAGGGGCCCAAGCTGAGCTGGGGAGCCGGGTCACACCGGTCAAAGCCAGAGAGAACCAAAGAAACAGCCCAAGGAGCAGGTCAGCGCTGGGAGCAGAGCCGTAGCAACAAGAGCCATAGAAAAAGTCCAGAGAGCAGATCCATGCTGGGAGGAGAGTTGCAGGAGCCAGAGGGGCCAGAGAAGCAGCCCAGGGGGCTGGAGGCAGAGCAGCAGCAGTGCTGGGGCTGGAGTTGGGGCTGGAGCCAGGGCAGTGAGCAGCTGGGGAGAGTGAGGGGGACCCTGGGCAGAGGGCCCAGTGCAGGGAGGTGCCCGTAGCCAAGAGGCCTTGCAGGCCAGACCTGGAGGGGGATCATAACTCCGATGGGGGGGTTGACGCTGGGAAGAGGGTCCTGCCACCTAGAGCCTGAGGGCGTGGCCACCGCCAGATCAAGTGTCCGACATGCAGTATCCCTGCAGTACAGCCAGGGCCTGGGAGGGAGGCTTGGCACATGTGAGTGACAGACTGTGAACTTTACAACCAGCGTCTCTGGAATGTAAGGGATGTTCCTGTGCCACCAGAGCGGGGTTATGTGTTTTCCTTTAGCCTTTCCCATTTTTAATTTATTTTTTAAATTGGTCGCTGTTTCATAAATTGTATTTGCTTGAACTGTATATAATGATCAGTGAGTCAGGGAGGTGTCCAGAGCGCAGAGAGCACCCTGAAGTGGGGACACCCTAGCCAGTGCCCTAAGTGACCACAAGATTGGCAGTCGAGCTCCCCAGGAATTGTCGGGGTTACAAGGACTCTGCCAGACAGGGGAGTGGAAGGGGAGCCCTCGAGGTCAGGCAGGCCTCTGGGTAAAGGGAGTGGGAGCGAGGACTCGGATCCTTTCGCTAGCCCATTTCACCGGGGTAGTGTATAAGCCAGGAAAGTTCCCCACAATAGCGGGACCCATCCCCAGTTTACAAGTGCATGCAACCCTGATCTGTGCGTGCAAGTCCAGATTTGCACAAGCGGGTAGGTATGACGTACACACCCAGCGCACGTGCATAGCTTTGAAACCCAGGCTTTAAGTGACTTGCCCAAATGGTCACAGCAACTCACTAGCGGGGTCTCCTGATTCCCAGCTCCCACAATCAATCCACTAGCTTAGACTCTGCTCTGACTAACCTCCAACATCTTTAAGATTCAAGGAGGCTGGGGTGAAGAATGGGACCATCTTCTGACTGGGGCGGGGGGAGCTGCCAGCCTCACATACCTGTTGCTCTGAGCCAAGCTCACCCTCTTTGCTCTCTTCTCCAGCCAGTCCTCTACTGTGCCAGCTGGGACTTCTGCTCCTTCCTCCTTTGATCTCCTTTCCTCTGTTTGGGGGAGAGAAGGTAAAGAGGGCCCCGTCAGAGCACTAGCCCTGCAATCCTGCTCATCCTGCAACACTTTCCCTGCAGTGAATCAATAGCTTCTCCAATACAATCCGGTCCCTCCTCCCCTGCTGGCCACCTGCATCTGGATGCTTGGCTTCGCCATGGCCAGGGGCATACCCAGGAGCATCCATTGCCAGACACATGCCCAGCAATGGAGACTGACATAGAATCATAGAATATCAGAGTTGGAAGGGACCTCAGGAGGTCATCTAGTCCAACCCCCTGCTCAAAGCAGGACCAATTCCCAATTAAATCATCCCAGCCAGGGCTTTGTCAAGCCGGGCCTTAAAAACCTCTAAGGAAGGAGATTCCACCACCTCCCTAGGTAAAGCATTCAAGTGCTTCACCACCCTCCTAGTGAAATAGTGTTTCCTAATATCCAACCTAGACCTCCCCCACTGCAACTTGAGACCATTGCTCCTTGTTCTATCATCTGCCACCACTGAGAACAGCCGAGCTTCATCCTCTTTGGAACCCCCCCTCAGGTAGCTGAAAGCAGCTATCAAATCCCCCCTCATTCTTCTCTTCTGCAGACTAAACAATCCCAGTTCCCTCAGCCTCTCCTCATAAGTCATGTGCTCCAGACCCCTAATCATTTTTGTTGCCCTCCACTGGACTCTTTCCAATTTTTCCACATCCTTCTTGTAGTGTGGGGCCCAAAACTGGACACAATACTCCAGATGAGGCCTCACCAATGTCGAATAAAGGGCAACGATCATGTTCCTCGATCTGCTGGCAATACCCCTACTTATACAGCCCAAAATGCCGTTAGCCTTCTTGGCAACAAGAGCACACTGTTGACTCATATCCAGCTTCTCGTCCACTGTGACCCCTAGGTCCTTTTCTGCAGAACTGCTACCTAGCCATTCGGTCCCTAGTCTGTAGCTGTGCACGGGATTCTTCCGTCCTAAGTGCAGGACTCTGCACTTGTCCTTGTTGAACCTCATCAGGTTTCTTTTGGCCCAATCCTCTAATTTGTCTAGGTCCCTCTGTATCCGATCCCTACCCTCTAGTGTATCTACCACGCCTCCCAGTTTAGTGTCATCTGCAAACTTGCTGAGAGTGCAGTCCACACCATCCTCCAGATCATTAATAAAGATATTAAACTAAACCGGCCCCAGGACTGACCCCTGGGGCACTCCGCTCGAAACCGGCTGCCAACTAGACATGGAGCCATTGATCACTACCCGTTGAGCTCGACGATCTAGCCAGCTTTCTATCCACCTTACAGTCCATTCATACAGCCCATACTTCTTTAACTTGGCGGCAAGAATACTGTGGGAGACCGTATCAAAAGCTTTGCTAAAGTCAAGGAATAACACATCCACTGCTTTCCCCTCATCCACAGAGCCAGTTATCTCATCATAGAAGGCAATTAGGTTAGTCAGGCATGACTTGCCCTTGGTGAATCCATGCTGACTGTTCCTGATCACTTTCCTCTCCTCTAAGTGTTTCATAATTGATTCCTTGAGGACCTGCT